CCTTCATCCAGGCTGTTGATGGATATGTTGAACAGGATTGAACCCAGTCCTGTACCCTGGGGAACAGGACTAGCTACAGGCCTCCAGCTAGACTCTGTGCTGCTGATCACAACCCTCTGAGCTCTGTTGTTCAGCCAGTTCTCAATCCACCTCACCGTCCACTCATCTAACCCACACTTCCTGAGCTTCCCTATGATGATGTTACAGGCAACAGTGACAAAAGCCTTGCTGAAGTCAAGGTAGACAATGTCCACTGCTCTCCCCTTATCTACCCAGCCAGTCATGCCATCCTAGAAGCCTATCAGATTGATCAGGCATGATTTCCCCTTGGTGACTCTATGCTGACTACTCCTGATAACATTCTTTTCCTCCACATGCTTAGAGATGACCTCCAGAATGAGCTGTTTCACCACATTTCCAGGGATGAAGGTGAGGCTGAGTGGCATGTACTTTCCTGGGTTCTCCTTCTTGCCTTTTTTGAAGATGGGGATGACATTGCCTTTCCTCCAGTCCTCAGGCACCTCTCCTGTTCTCCATGACCTTTTGAAAATGATGGAGAGTGGCTTAGCAATAATATCTGCGAGGTCCTTCAGCGCTTGTGGGTGCATCCCACTGGGGCTCATGGATCTGTGGGTGTCCAGCTTGCCCAATTGATCTCTAACATGATCCTCCTCATTCAAGGGAGAGACTGCCTTTCTCCAGACCCCTCTCTTATCTCCAGGGACTGGGATTCCTGAGGGCTAGTCTTAGCAGTGAAGAGTGAAGCAAAGGCTGCATGCAGTAACTCCGCCTCCTCTGCCTCCTGGGTCACCAGAACACCCACCTCGTTCAGCAGTGGGCCCACATTTTCCCTAGTTTTCCTTTTGCTACTGATGTATGTGAAGAAGCCTTCTTGTTATTCTTGATGTCCCTTGCCAGGTTTAATTCCAAATGGCCTTACCCTTCCTCATTACATCTCTGAATACTCTGACAACCTTCTTATATTTCTCCCATGTGGCCATTCCTTTTTTTCCACTGTTTGTAAGCTTCTTTCTTCCATTTGAGTTTTCCCAGAAGCTCCTTGCTCATCCATGTGGTTCTCCTGCCTCCTTTACTTGATTTTTCACTCACAGGGGTGCACTGAGAGTACCAGCTCTCTTGGACCCTCCTACCTTCTAGAGTCCTAACCTTCTGAAGTCCAGGGTTGTAATTCTACTTACTGCCCTGCTTCTTCCTTGCCTGATACTAAACTCCACCATCTCATGGTCACCCTGCAGCCAAAGTTGCCCCCGACCTTCACCTCCCCAGATGGTCCTTCTTTGTTACTACAAGGTCTAGCAGCAAATGTCTCCTCATTGGCTGCCCCACCACCTGTGGCAAAAATTTCACCAGTGCTCTGCAGGAGGCTCCTGGACTGTGTTGGCCTACCTGCATTGCCTTTCCAGCAAATGCCAGGGTGGCTGAAGTCCCCTATGAGTCTGTGATACTGTGGTGGAGTTTTCTCAGCACGGTCCATTAGTGAGCTGGAAATCTGTAAGAAAGTCCAAGCAGGGCACAAACATTCTTTGTCTGCCTTGCTTAAAATAAGACAAAAAAAGTCTGAATAAGATTCCACAGGGGCTTACAGGATTATCTGTTTCTATTCTGCAGAAAATGTGTGTACCTCTGAGCAAAGTGATTTAATACAAGTTAGAAGCTGTTCAGTCTAGAACCTCCCATGCACCCTCTTAGAGCTGAATGGACTCATCCTTAGGTTGTAGTAAGGCTCCACATTTTGTTGTCCAATTTCATTTATTTTGTATTCTCAGATATAATGTATCTTCAACAAAAGGAACAGAAAATACCTCCCTCCAAACCAATGTGTTTCAGGGTGATACTCTTGAAAGACACAAAGTCTTTAGAATTTAAAATTTTGTTGAAATAAAATTCTCATGGGAAAAAAAATCCAAAATGTCTATTTTATGCAGGGGATGCATGACAGTACTTTTCACAAAACTGGAAAAGAGGGAGAAATAAGTTTCCCACTATGTCATGTTTCTTCCTGGAATTACCACCTATAATAAATTACTCATCAGGGTTAGTTAACCAGGACTTTAAAGAAAGATTAAATTATTGATAGTCATAGCACAAATCCACATATCAGGAAAAGTGCACATAGTAAAAGTGGTATCTAAATACTGCTTAATTCTCAGAATTTAAGTGTGTCCTAGTCTGAGTAGAAATACTTAGAATATCTATAAAATACTAACAAAACGGTAACCACATGGCTGAGGAAAAATTATACCATCTCGGACCAAGGAATGAGCAGGGGAGGAGTAAACTGCAGGAACAGCTCATCTTCAGTTTTGATAACCTTGATACAATCAATGAGTCTACAGAAAGACCAAAGAGGCAGTGCCAGTGAAGTCTGCTTTTGAAGCAGTGATGTATACACCCCCGGTGAAACACACACAAGAACCTGCACTTTGTGGAGCCCCTACAGCTCTTAACAAACCTCAGATGCAGACCAGCAGATAATTCCATGCTTTTGCATGGCCATGGAAATACTCCAGTATCTATTACAAGAATCATCAAGACAGGTACACATAATAATGTACATCTGTACTGAATATTTTAAATCTCTAAATCTCTTTAAAGACCACAAATCCACTATGGACTACAGTCTGTGTGGAGTTTTGCCTTTCAGTAGGCTTCCTATACCTGGCTTTTATGGAAGTTTCTTGCATGTACCAGTATTCCCAAAACAAAGATCGTGGGGAAAAACAAAGCACATAATTGCAAATGGCTGAATTTGGTACAGTCTTCTCCTTCTCACTCCCCTTTTGTGGGGGGTTGGATAGGGAATAATATTTAATAAGTTATTCTCAAAAATAGTATAATGAACAGACACTTAGGCTTAACAAACAAGCTCTCTTTACCACAAGTATATGTGCCATCATGAAAACTTACTAGCACTTGACAAATCCTGTGCCTTTTTTAATGCTCAGTGTACAGCATTCATTGATAAAAATAGCTCATGACAAAACTGTTCACCTCAAGAATGTGCAGTATAACACTGATTTAAAAGATACAAACAACGAAGTAACAAAATGCACTATCATTAAAGTATTTTTAATATGAACAGCTAGGAGGCATGCATTAACTGGATATCACCAACTTAAATCTCACTATTTTATCTTCATTAAAGAAAAATCAAACTTCTAACTTGGAAATTCCCCTAACATTTCATTTTTTCAGCTGATTGCAGAAAAAAACACTCATAACTGCAACAGAAAAAGAAGAGCTCACAGTTTTGTAACCAGTATTATACAGGGTATGTATTTACCAGATAAAAAGTTGACTCTGTTCCTTTAGGAACAGGTTGCATATATTTCCTGTTTTTCTCACTACAAAATATTTTTCTCTACAGACAATTTTAACTTTTATGTCATGTTTATAAAACAAAACGAAACAAGACAAAACTTCTTGTGTTTTAAAGATCCTTTTTTTATACATTGTAGTACAACAAAAAAAAGTAGTATTACAAAATACAGTTAAGTAAATACAGTTAAGTGATCTCTTGATTTTAAACTTCTGCATCTGCTGTAATTTAAAAAAAAAACAAACAAAAAAACACCAAAAAACAACCCAATTTGATATTAACTTTCAAGATAAAGAGCTGTCAGTACAAAAGATCTGGGCCATCACTAAGCACTTAGAATCCCTCCCAATTTCATGCTTGTTATTTCAGAAGAAATTTCAGAAGAAATAACAAATAGTGCTTTTATGGCAGAAGTAATCAAGCCAAAAAAACCAGAATTTTTATTGCTATTAAAAATATTTTTTAAAAATCAGAGATATAAAACCTGATGCATGGATTAAGTTAGTCAAGAAGAAACAACGAAGCCTGCCCACTTTTAATAAACGCAAAAGATGAAAACCAACTTTCAGCATGAATTTTTATAATCCTCTTATTGGCATTTGAAATAAAGTTTTTGAAAAATACTCTGGAAAATTTCTTAATTGTTCATGTTTTGAAAAAACTACATTAGGCCTTCCATTTTTTTAAGATGTTGACAATCTCTTTTACAGATGCACAGAAGCTGCACAGTTTGTATGAAACACTTTTCAGTGTTAACAACACAGACAACTATAAAACAGTTGACTATCACACAGAGTCTGCAAGTTTCTTTCTTTCTTCAAATTGTTTATCTACTGCAAGTGAGAGAGCCTGAAGAAATGCTGTCATTGTAACACTGGGGGACTGAAAATAAGAGAACATTTTGTTAGACATACTACAGCAATAGGCATATATAACACTTTACATACAAATCACAATATTTAAAAGAGAAATATTTGACTCCCATGTTGTCAAAGTTTCAAAATTATACAAACCGTAAAACTGCCGGTGTATTTTAAACCAGCTAGCATAAAGTCAAAGTCAAGCTATGCAAGGCTTGAGTCAATTACTATTACTGTGGATTTCTTCATGATAAGTTTTTAACAAATTCATATTATTTATAGAGTGGCAAAGTGTTTTTTTTTTTTTTTCAGCAAGAAATTATCAAAGAACCAATATCAATGCTCTGTCACAACATTTAATTAGAACTAGAATGTTGTTGGACAGGTCTATTCTACCCATCTCCTTCAATCCCATTTTAAATTAGGGGGTAGCACAAAATAGTTTCAGTCCACAAAGATGCAGAAACAGTGCCATTTAGATTAAAAGGGGGGCGGGGGGGAATAGGCCCAATCTTTTACTTCAGGCAGTGCCCAAGCATCTTCCCACCAATCTCAAAAACAAACCAAAATATAGTGAACAGAAAAAACTTACTTGAATATAAAGTGCATGTGCTAGGAAAGGAAGTTTTCTCAGGACCCGACCACTAAGACCTTCACTTCTTCTACAGTAAAACAGAGACAAGTGCTGCTTAAATGCTAACATGCACTCTCAAAAGAAGATCTTTCCTTTTCCTTTGTTTCTTCCCAAGTCGCTCTAAAAAAACTCACATCACAATTCAGCAGATCACTTGTAGTACTTTTAGCAGAGGCAGGAAGGGAACAAAGTACCTCAGGATATGAGAGGCTATACAGTACAGAAGAGCAGTCCAGCGTACAAAGCTTACCTCACACTGAATGTCTCAGGAGTCTGGGGGAATGCCTACACTGAAAAGGTGTGGTACAGACATATCCTCCCATCCACACTTGGAAGGACTTGAAAACTTTATTTTGAAGGCTGGACCTCATGGCTACTGCTGATCTCCTTCCCACCATTTACAGACAGCTTCCTTTACCTCACCTACTTGATGTATCTTCCCATCTTCTCCAATCACCTGTCTGTGTATGTAGAACCCAAATCTCTATGCTTGGAAAAACTTAATTACTTTCACTCCACTCCTCACTGGTCAAGACTGCATTCTACAGGAACAGAAGGAAAACACTTCCCTGACTCTACAAATGTCATTTTATTTTGTTCCAAGCGCTTTGGCAGAAAAAATACTGCTTGATATTGTGAATATAATTTTTATTCTTTCAAGGATTGTTATACTGCTGTGAAAGGCTATTTTTTCTACTAGCATACTCAGCAAATGATAACACACTCTGTGTACACTTCACTCCTTTCCTCTTTGTTTCTGTCCACTTATATCTCAGTGCTAAAACCTGACTTAGTAGATTGCAAGGCATTCCAAGACACTTTCTTAGCTGTAACTAAAGCCAATGCTGTTTCTGCTAAACTGCATTACAAAGCACAATATCCACTGAAACCTAAGCCATCTCATCAATCCAGCCAGCAATTTCTCAAGAAAATTTCAAAGGGCAGAGCAGAATCCAGAAGCAGTACAAAGCCAAGCCAGATCTGAGACTAAAAAAGGTTTTTAAATCCTGATGACTTCCAGTTTTTGTCCCCTGAACGTTTCTGCACTAACCCAAACAAAAAAAAAAAAATTGTATGTTTCAGAACTGTAGCTGTTGTGAAATTCAATTACTTTCAGACATCATTCTACAACTCATTACATATATAAATAAAACGTAGAGTTTCAGAATCTTACCTTGAGATTTCTTTTAGTACAAGGCTTAACCTTGACACGTTATTCTCCACGAAGCCGATCATCTCCAGCTCCCTGAGCGTCAGGAGCTGCTGTCGAGGATATATGATTTGACACTAGAAAGAAGAGTCACACACTGTTGCATGAAAAACTTAAATTCAAAATTAAATTCTGCAGTGAGGGGAAATACAGAGGAGGAATGAAATGAATGTATTTTTGTTATTTAGGATGCATGATTAAAATAGCAAATTAATCAAAATACAAGATTTTACAGCCTTGCTTTCAAAATATTACCTTCATCAGTTCTTCCAAGCAAGAAAGATATATTCTAAATATTGCTGCAATGGATGGAGGTCCAATGTATTGCTTTATGTCAGCCCTGTCTACAAAGGCCAAGTCAATTTTCTCCGTAATATTTGAAGTAGTCAGGATAACTACATTGGGATACCTTCAAGATAAAAGCAGATTTTTAGGTCACACGTACAAGAATTAGGTCCTTCTGTGACTGGCAAATTGATACCTTCCTTCTTGTAACTCAAGACACTTCATGCAATAAACAGTCACATCACTCATCAGCCAGCAACTACATCAGTGATCTGAAGCTCTTGGCCAGTTATCTATTTCAATACACAGTCTTTCTTTCAGCTGTTTCTCAAGTGCCCATAGTTTCTCCAACCCTATTTGACAAGTGATATACATTAACTATCTAGACCCTACTGGCATAGTTTCTGCCACAAAAAATAGATTATGAAAAGAAGATTTGTAAATTTGAGCTTTTGATTTTCCTGGTTTCCACTTCAGCTCAGTAGAAAGCGTATGGTTTGACTGGCAATGTAACACATGCCAACTGCAGATGATACTAGAGTGAGCTTAAAGAAGAAGTGACATCTTACTGTAAGAAATACTGAAAGAACTTTCTTAACCGTAGATGTTTCTGGATGGAGCCTGTCAACTTCTATGTATGAATAAGCCACTCATTTAATTAGCTGCAAGACAAGGCCAAATATTAGGGCAACTTTCTTTCTGTGAACGGAACCAAGTATGCTCAAAAAGGGGAGGGAAGTGGCAGGAATAAAACAACAGAGAGCATGCTGCACTGAATCCAGCATGGAAAGCAGACCAAGCATCATTAATGACTGCTTCTAAGCCACGTGTTGTGCAGATCTGCTGTAGACTGACATCCAGAAGCTGTAAATAATGAATGAATTCTTCATTGATCTTATTCTTGTCTCCTCAAAGCAGATGTGACCATCTGTCCTGTATCTTTC